ATTACAAACAATATTATTTATTTTTTCTTGAATTGAATTTTACTGTAATTGAATTTTACGTAAAATATTTTTGACAGCGTAAATTACGCGTAAAATTACGTAATTTTACGCTGTAAATTACGCGCCATGCAACCTTAGTTATTACATGTAATAACTTAGTTATTTAAAAAATAAAAAGTTGTCTCCTATCTAATGCCAATTTTAATTATGTTATATTATAATAATTAAATTTTAATTAAATTATATTAATTATATTAATTGAAAATAATTATAATAATAAGAGGGTTAATCTGAGTGGACATACCCGGGAGGCGCAGTCAAAGCTTATCCCCAGTCCGACCATTACTTCGAGTACTATCGGCGATGGATTGCATTTCATGGCGTAGTGTTGCTGTACTCGCGGTAAGTATTTCCGGAGTCTCTGGTACTTATCGATCATATCCTCGACGTCCACCACATAGAATGCCTCGTCGAGCCTACCGGTGCGGTTATGGCCAGCAATTATGTGATGGAGCAAGTGATCAATTTGGGGGTCAACTATTATTTTTTGTTTTTTTGAAAACATTATATTCAAAAATCATTAAATATGAAATTATAAACTTATTTTTAAAAATTAATGATGAGTTAGTAATTAGTTTAACTAATAGTTATGATTTATTTTTTGAAAAAACTTAAAATTTATTTGTATGTATCACTGTATTTTGTATTATATTTCAGTTAACATTTTAATTAAAAACATTAAATTTATTATTTAGATCTAAAACCATAGCTGTGTAATTAATTAAGTTTTTTTTGAATAATGTATTTATTTAAGAATTTATATAAATACAAAATTATATAGACAATTTTATAGATAAAACTTACTCGTTAGTAGTTATAAATTCAGTTAATAATTTTTGTATAGTCTTCAAGATTGATTGATACTACTATAAATATTTATTGTAAGATTTATCATACGAATATATTTTTATCTTATATTTAACACAATTAATACAATTGAATGTTTAAATCACTGCAATCGCTGTAATTTCCGTCTCATTCATGGTTTCTGTTGTATTTTCTTTATGTTGTTTTGCATTCACTTTGGATTCAAATATATATTTCGACACAACTTTCTGAAGACCAATAAATGGCAATTCAAAGCATAGGGCCAACGGAATGATTACTATAAAGTTAATGACTGTCCAAATAAATCTGTATATTATTATTAATAATGCTGTTTTATAATTCAGTTGAAAACTGGGGAATATATCCATCAAATAGTAGCCCACAATGGGATGAAGTAAGTATGAAGTTTGCTGTACATTACGGATTGGTTTCAAGTATTTCGACGACAAATGTCTGTTTAAAAAGCTAAATATTTGACTCCTTTTCTCAATTATACCGATCAGTATAAAGGATGAGATTATGGACGACACGATTGCCGTCAAACTGTTTTCTATGGCTGAGAGCACCGGGAGGTCATCTAAATATGGCGTTTCTCTCATTAACATTATTGATTGAGATATAAACATATAAATTATGGTTATTATACATGTTTTGCGGAAAATATGACTTGTATATATTTTGGTGATATACTTGTATTCAATCAAATAACCCAATAGTAAGCCATTTAAATACGCGATACTATATCGGTATATAGTAATGTGAAATTCATGGAAAGTGGTGTTTGGGTAACTATACCAAAATAAATAAACAATTTTCAATGAGTTTAGGTATTATTTGATAAAGCTGATTAACTTACATAAAGAAATTGAAAAATAATTTAGGGAAATATATGTTTGTGTTAATGGTTTCGGTGGTTATGCCATTTGAATATGTGATATAAAATGTGGACACAATCGCCACGATATTACCGATAATTATGCCAACGATTCCTTGCCTCATATTTCTATAAACAAAATTATAACTTATTTATTTTGATAATATTAAATTTTTATGTAAATTATTAAAATATTTACCGTATTAATAATATGACAAATAGTGGTGTAATTAATACTAATTGTATTAATACACAGTATGTCCATACATGAACCATACACTAGTAATAAATAAAAAAAATTAATTTACAGTAATATTTATATTTAAATGTACCATTTGTGTGCTTTTGATTTCATTGCCGACAAAAAATATATTATAAACCCATTTCTCATCGCATACTTCAACCACTCGTTTGTCGTAAAAGCGATCGGAAACCAAATATTTGGCATAAATTATGTAGAAATAGAGTGACATATAGTATACGGGAATCACACGGAATATTCTGTCGAAATAAAACCGCAAACATATTCTCCACAAACTTTTTGAACGGTTTTTGTTCACTTCCTGAATAAACCATTTAATGGATGCCATTCCGTTCAGTATAAATACGAAATCCAATCCATATCTGAACGCATAATATAATAAATACCTATTTTGATAACAAAATTATATTTTAAATTTGTACAATATACTGAAATTTTTATTTTACACGTTAAATATAAAGTATAATTTAAAACACTGACGATAATTTAATTATTAAAATATTTATCATGTTGTAACAAATAAAGAATATTAGTATAAAAATACCGGTAATATTATTCATAAAGACAATATGTAAATTATTGTAACAATTATTGTGAATAAAATAATGTGATTGCAAAAAATCTATTTTGTTGAGTTTGAAATATGTGTCATTAAAAAATAGTTCTTAAAGTATATATTTATGAATGAAGTAAACAAGGTAAATACAAACCATATTCTGTGGTTTACAGAATTGGTGACAATATTGAAATTCTCCATACGATTCAATGCTATAAAACAAGCAAAATGTGTTTGAATGGCCTCCCAATGTATTACAGCCTTCACGCCGTCCAATGGTTTACTTTGGATCACATCTCTCACGTGTATTGAGTCGTAATAATTACTTATTAGAGAAATGCTGTTTATTATCTCATTATTGGTTTTATAATCATTGCAGACATTTGTATTTTTCACACATTTTGTGCAATATATTTGTATCAAATGTTTCATTGTTACCAACAATACAAGTAATGTCCAGATTATGACAAATATTATAAATATATTCACTTCAATCATTTTTGGAAATATTCATGTAAGTTATATCTAACCAAACTCATACTAAAATAAGTGCATAGTTAAATAATATTTTTCTACTAAAGTTAATATATATCCTTGAGTTTAAGGTAATCATTCATTACTAATCAATAAAATAAAAAACAATTATTATTATTATGGAAAAAAACAATTATGCAGAAATGTACTAAAATTTATATGAATTTTTAAATTAGTAAATTTAGCTTACAAAAAATTCATATTCTCGAAAGTTAATTGCAAAAGATTATATACTTATGAAATATAAACTTATTTAAATTAGCGTAGATTTCTGGATAAATGTTTATACTTTATTAAATATAATATAATTCAAGGTATACATAACTAGTTATAGATGCATGTTTTATTAAATGAAAATTATAACTAATACTGAATATTTTGGATTTCATATTTAAATCTAAC